GGGGGGGGGGGGGGGGGGGGGGGGGGGGGGGGGGGGGGGGGGGGGGGAGTTCAGCCCGGGCTGAGATTTTCAACCCGCTTAAACGAGCTGAAATTAAACACTTCAACATTTCAGAACAGTTATTACTGCAAATCACCCAGGACTTTTAACTGTTTACCATCACACTTACGGCAGCCAAATCTCTCAATCAGTCAATTTAAATACGGCCTATTTAAATATTACCAAAAGCTTGTTGAAGAGGTTTACGACATTGATGTTCCACAAACGTTTAAAACAGTGTCTTTCTGTCAAACTGTGTTGTCATTAGTTGCTGTTAACCCAGTGGAAATATCACTTTTTAGTGAGCATGTGAAATTTAAATTAAATTCCTTTTTTTTCGACCACATGATTTATAGAATTGCTCAGGACGACATTAAATCAAACGCCCCAGTGATTAGCGATTTTGAAGCGATATATCCATTGTGTTAACCTATATTTCAGTATTGCATTAGCAGGTTACACGTAAAGGAGCAACTAGCTCTGTGGGTTAAACCGGTCATGTGACAAAGATTGTAAAATAAATAAATTGTTTCACGATTTCATGGCAAATTTCAGCCCGGGATGAGTTAGAATTTCAGTTCGAACCGCAAGGTGAAATCTCAGCCCGCTCAGCATTGGCTGAAAGGTGATTGGTAGAAAGTATACTTCAAAATAAGGTTTCCGTTTTTATAACGTAGAAAAAAACCATCCTAACGCAAAACTAAACCCTAATACTAACCCGAACCCTAACCACAACCCTAACCTAATCCTAACTTATTTAAAAAATTGATATAAAAACGGAACCTTGTTTTGAAGTATACTATCTAGCAATTGCCTCGGCTGAAACTGCATCAAGTCTCAAAAAGGAGCTACTCCGCTTCTAGAAACAAAGCCACTTATAATTAAACGCTGTTTTTTCAATAAAATGTATACTGGTGGTATTGAAATAAAACCCATTAATTGAATCACAATTCCGACAGCTTTCAGAAAAAAAACATTGATGCAAATTGACAATTGCGTATTATTTTCACATCAATGGAATTAAATAATTCGAATGGTTTTAATGGAATACATTTTGAAAAAGATAAGCCATTAATGGTTATTATAGTAATTAGCTTATTTTTTTCACATCGTTATTGAATTCGTAAATGGAATTATCGACCATTGTAGTTTTAATTTTCTGCGTGAATTTTGTCGCTGATACCGATTATGGAAACGCGAGATTCTTCGGTCGACAGTTCGACTCGCGTTCTGAGTGGCACAGAAAGCCCCAAGCTCGGAACATTACCGGTATTTCAAAGTATTTCCGATATTTTAAGTATTTTTTTTTCAATTTCTATAGTATCGGAATGAAAATTGAAATCTTTTTATGAAAATAATCGAACCAGAAAATCGAATGTTGTCTGTCATTATTTCGGGCCCCTTTTCTCCCCCCTTGCCCCTGTGTAGCGCTTGTTTCAAATAGATATATAGCTTCTTCTGCCCATATATTGTACGGTTGGTTTAATCAGTATTCAGTATCAATGGGCAATGTTGTTCTACTCAGTGTCATAAATCAATGCTATCTCTGTTAGATCACGTCAAGGTTAAATGCGCCCAAACATTGTTGATCAAAACATCTCGAAATGTCGCGACTTAATCTTGAGCACGAGTGCACATTGGCGCGCAAACAATAAACACCCATATGCCATATTGTACTGGTGTCTTTCACCGCAGTTCGTATTAACCATTATCAGTACGTATATACCGAGTTTTCTATTACGAAGAATATTTCTAGTAAATGTAATTTTATAGTCAACTTCCACCTGTAGTTAACACTGGGTCAATAAGAGATGATCCTTACTGGATCTCTAGGAAGAACAGTTTAGAACTGATAGAGCTATCCAGTATAAATAAAGTTAGTTTAGTTTAGGTTTCCTCCTGTAGTAACACTGGATCAATAAGAGATGATCATTACTGGACCTCTAGGAAGAACAGTTTAGAACTGATAGAGCTATCCAGTATAAATAAAGTTAGTTTAGTTTAGGTTTCCTCCTGTAGTAACACTGGATCAATAAGAGATGATCTTTACTGGACCTCCAGGGAGAACAGTTTAGAACTGATAGAGCTATCCAGTATAAACAAAATTAGTTTAATTTAGGCTTAATGTGTCAGGAGAGACAGTATCCATCTTTATTTCTTCTGCTAGACAAAGTATGTTCCAGCAACATGTATTAGGCTTGCTGCTGGATGTACTACAGTCGCATTTGGACACGAATGTGGAACTTTCGCTGTTGGCTTGGTGGATCCACCCATACACAAAGTAAGAATTACTCCGCCCTCGTAATCAAATTATGCCCCGGGATTCAGACTTATTCAGTTTGGGTCGTTACCTCAATGGGGCTACACCAGCCATGACAAGCAAATGGCCTTTTTATAAAGAGAAAATGCTCATTAAGAATAATATTTTTTTCAAAACCTCGTCAAATACGTAAGAAATCCTATGATATTGGTACACCTTACACGTCTTTGGCCAGAAAGCTACTATTTATCGTCTATGCCAA